GGCCACAAAGAATAGCCCAAAGGCAGGAGGCTGCCCCACCCCCAGCCTGCTCCAGCAGCCCTTTCAGAATTACCTGCTTCAAGTGACTCCATTTCCAGTCTATGTCCCCTCCCCTCACCCCTGGCCCATCCTCTTCACCCTCCTCCTACCTGAAGGGTCTTCCCACAGATTTTATCTTCCTTTCCTAAAGGATTAGGGATCAGGGGGTCAGACCCAACCCCACAAGATCTTGATAGATTTCCCTCCAAGGGCCCTCACCAATCCAGGTCCTGCCAAGGTCACCTCCTTTCTTCTCCTGGTCGCCAAGGTCAGTTTCTGTCCCTTCCCTCCACCCTCACTTTCCACAGTGACCAACATTGCTATTGCCCTTATCAAATACCAGGTCCAGGTCTTAGCACTTGACAGATTTGATTTTTACTACAACCCTATGAGGTGGTCACTGTTAGCATTTTAGAAAGGGGGAAATGCATCCCCTTGGAGAGATCCAGAGGAGCAGTCCTTTGCCCAAGACCACACAGCTGGAAAGCTGTGACTAGGAATATGAACTCACTTTCTGAAACATTACTCTCCTATCTGTGAAATTTTAGTTCATGGCTCTTCCGCAGCCCAATGCCTCTCTCCCTCTAAACGGGCTTCCAGCTAGATCTCTGCTGTGTGGACTTACTGTCAGCAGCATCAACCCAAAGGGATTCTAACCCTTTTGAAAAGAATTGAGGCATTTCTCAACTGCGACTCAGTTGGGCAAGGGGGTGCCCTGTCTGGACCTCTCTCCCTCCTCTTCTCCCTTAGTTAATCCGGCAAAATTTTACTGATCGCTTGGTCTCCTGTGTTGAGTGACAAAAACGGACAAGGTTCCTGTTCTGGCATTAGATCAAGAACACAGGATCAAAAGACTTTGTTACGCAATTCTTTCTAAAATCAGAACAGTAGTAAAGGAACAGGGAAATGAAGAGTACTATAAAAGCCCGCGCTGGGGGACCTGATCTCTTTCCTCCTTTTGGAAGGGGGAGGGGGGATCCTTACCGAGAAGAAAGTGTCTTCCTCGGGCAGTTTCACTCTCTAATGCCTGCGAAGAAACGTCTCGCCTTCCTCCCGTGCCCCTCCAAGCGGCCTCCGGTGGGGATGGGTGGCAACTAATGAGGAACCCACTCCCTCTCTCCAAGTTGTCTCCCTTCCTCGGGGCCCACAATGGAGCTGCCTCGCTTTTCCTCTCCTGAGGAAGTTGTTCCCGAGTGTCCTCTCCGAGTAGTTCCAGACCTTTTCCATTCTGTGACAGCCCTTCCTTCGCTCCCTGCACAGACCTGACACCCTAAAATCGGCGTTGACATCCCTACTCTCACTTGGGGAAAGCTCCCAGTGCCCCGGGAACTCACATATCTAGCCAGCCCCCGAGCACCAAGCCGCCGCAGGAGCAGCACGCCAGCCTGGCCCAAGCCTCGACCTGAGCCCCGGAGCTTCGCCGCAGCAGCCGCCACCGCCATCTTCGCTAACAACTCCTCAGCGATCCGCCCCTCTCCCCTCTTAGACTGAGGCTGCCCCTTTATGAACCTGATTCAAATGTTAGCCCCATCCTCCCAAGAAGCCACAACCTACCAGTTCTTCGGCCTCTTGGACACGGGTATGAGTGGACAAAACAATCTAGCTTGCCAAAAGTACTCTTATAGCCTCATCTTAGTTTTTTCTGTAACAGGCAAAGAAGAGGGCAACCTAACCAGAGCCTCAGGCCTTTAGGGCCCGGGGGCCTCGGGTAGGATGAGCCCAGGCCAAGGCCCGCCCGCTCTTCTCTAATCTCCAATGGATTTCCAGGATTTGCGAGGCGGGAGTGGGAGGGGCCAGATTGTTAGTAAACGCGGAGACACGTGCGGGCGCGACTCCCGGCACCCGGGATAGGCGCGTGCGCACTGGATACGCAGCCTGTACGCAAGCGCGCGCTTTTGCGCGGAAGTGAGCGTCCCAGTTGCACGTGGGATCTGGGGTGATGGAAGGGGTGATGCAGACTGACGCCAAGATGCGTACTGAGTCTGGAGCAGAGTCCAGTCCTCGAGGTCCAGGCTGCAGTCTCCGGCACTTTGCCTGTGAGCAGAACCTGTTGTCCCGGCCGGACGGCTCTGCCTCTTTCCTGCAAGGTAAGAACTTAACCTAGGTAAATACTGCCCCGGCCACGTTCGCTACGTTGTATTTGTTTTAGGAAGTTACAGGGTACCGTGCAAAGGAGTGCCACTTCTCCTGGACACCAGCTGGTGAATGTCCCTCCTGGACTGGTGCATTTCTTCTTACCCGGGTGGATACTACCGGATATGCCAGAATAATCTCTCTTTCCCGACTAGAAGGGAAATGACATCGCCACTCTGGTAAATACTCAGATGAGAGAGGAGCAGACTTCCTCGTAAGACCAAATATTCCAGAATAGAGAAAAGCTCCTCACCAAAGTAAATATCTCCCTTGACTAGATTCGTCTCCCACCTCCACCCCACACACCCTGGGTCCCTACATCCTAGGCTGAGGCAAACCTGCCCATATGTGTGAATACCTCTAAACTGGCAGATGACCACTACCGGCTTAATTACTCTCTGGACCGTGGCATGTCTTTTACCTGAGTACTTTTCAGACTGAGAGTGATGTCCCCTTTCCTCCCCACCACTGGGGTAAATATTTCTTTGACTGGGACACGCATCTCTCTATAGGAGTAAATATCGCTTACGTTTGGGGCAGGTCTTACCTATTAGGTAAATGTCCCCTTCCCCTATCCAAATGCATCTCAAACTGGACTCCGCTCCCTTACCCAGGTAAATATTCCTCTGGAGATAGGCCTAAGGATCATCCCAGTAAATGCTTCAGTCTCCTCACTAGAAGCATTACTTTCTACCCAGGTACAAACCTGTTTTAATTCATTCCTTCATTGGACACATATGTATTTGTGCTAAGTACTGTTCTAGGCACTGGGAATATGTCGATAAAAAGTATTTTAAATCCCTGACCTAACAGTTTACTTTCTAGTCAGGGAGACAGACAAAAGGTTAGCTAAGGAAAATACTACGGAGAAAAATACAGAGAAGGGGAATAGGGTGTGCCAGCCAGGGGTGCAATCTTAAATAGGATGGTTAGGAAAGGCCTTGATGAGATGGTAACATCTGAATAAAGACCTAAAGGTAAGGGAGCACACCCCGAAGATATCAGGAGGAAAAGCATACCAAGTGTGGGGAACAGCAGGGGCAAAGACCCTGAGGCAAGGACTTGCCTGGTGTGTTTGAAGAGTAGTTAGGAGACAATGTGGCTGGAGCAGTGAGGAGGCTGGAGAGAGGTAAGGGGGACTGCCTGTCATTTGAGGCTTAGTGAAGGACCTGGGGGCCATTGCTCCCAAGTTTTGCTCAGAGGAGTGACATGATCTGAATGTATTTTAACAGAATCTCTCTGGCTGCAGTGTTGACTTTTGAGGTACAGGGGAGTGGGGGCGATGGTGGTGGCTCAGACCAGAGTGGGAGTGGAAGTGATGAGATTCTGTAAAGCTGACAAAATTTGCAGATGGTTCGGTGTTGGGGTATGAGAGAGAGAGGGATAACACTAAGGTTTTTTCCCAAAATCAGCTGTGCTGGGAGAAGACTGGTTCAGTTTGGGACATTAAGTTTGCAGTGCCCGGTAGACATCACAGGGACAATAGGGACTGGGCAGAAGGACATGCAAGTCTGGAATTCAGAAGAGAGACGCAATCTGGACATACAATTAGGAACCCTCTGGCTATAGATGGTATTTCAAGCTACTGATGGGATGAAATCAAGAAAATAAATGTAGGTGGAAAAGAGAGGTTACACGATTAAAACCTGTGTCTTCTAACTTGTGGGGAGCCAGGAAAAGACACTGAGAAAAGGGGCACCTGGGTGGCTCAGTCAGTTAAGCATCCAGCTTCGGCTCAGGTCATGATCTCCTGGTCTGTGAGTTC